GTAAGTTCCAGTGCTGAGAGCTTATTGCCAGTATCTGCAAAGATTGGTGAAAGTAAGAGGAGATCAGCAGCACTATTACTAAATGCCAGTGCTGCTCTCAAGGTAGAATAGAGTCTTTGGGATAGCCCAAAATGGTGCAATATCCTGGCACTTGCACAGCGGTGGCAGGTAGGTAATACCATTGTCTCACTACTACACATGCACGGTAGCATCAACATTTAAATGTAGACCAGCACCATCCACAACAACCATACCCAGCGTAAAACTCAGCTGACAGTATCACTAACAACTACACCTGTCTACCCCTTTGCCACCACTTTAATAGTACCATCATCACCCAAGTCACTGGTGTTCCTGCCCCACCTTCTCACAACCATGCTTAAAGAACACACATGGGCCCCAGAATGAAAAACCGGAGTATGAGAGTTCTTGACTAATCATCCCCATCGAGACTTCGAGACTGTTGGTCCGCCCCTTGGCGTCTAACCCTATCACGGCACCCATTCGGATTTGACTCCTCCCCCCTGCCATTTTTAAAGACATTCATTCTCCCGCGGCTGACACCGCTCTAAGGCTTGACAAAGAGGGTTACCCTCGAAACGCGTAGCCGCTTACTGATCCCACAGGGGTGCCTCACAACCTAAACATATCTCCCTCGGACTCACGAGCACTGGCCGATACCGCTCACGGGACCTTCCAGCGTTCGCGCCGCACACCACATGGCAACACACTGCTCAGTGCTGATTCCAGCTGCCGGACAGCTCTCCCTCTCCTGCTCCAGTTGCCACGTGGCCTGGGGATATCCATATAGTTTAGAGCTTCCTGACCCGGTAACATACAGATCAATATCGCTGACCACACGGGACTGCAGGGAGTGTATGTGCCCATCCATGACATCACAACCGTAAGTTACACACCAACCATTTCTATTTCAACCAATCAGTCACTCACAGTAGGATTGTCGGGTCCCGGTCCGAGTGGCTCCAGGTCGGGTGCCGGTCCGAGGGACGTACAATGTCCCAGTACGAGCCAGTGTGAGCGGACGCACACGGAGGGGACATCCCGGCAGTATCACTGGGCCGCGCAGGCGCAGACGCCCTGTGACCCGGCGGGATCCGCCCCGCACGGCGTGACGTCATTACACTGGCGTGCGCGGGTGACGTCATCACGGCAGCGCAACATCAAAAACCGGTATCCTCTGCCATTAATTCCGGAACTGTTCCAGCGACTCCGCTCCGCAACAGTGTTTACTAAACTCGATCTGCGGGGTGCCTATAATCTTGTCCGGATCCGAGAAGGAGATGAGTGGAAGACGGCCTTCCGTACTCGATTTGGGCACTATGAGTACCTCGTCATGCCCTTTGGGCTATGTAATGCCCCGGCCACCTTCCAACACCTGGTGAATGATGTTTTCCGTGACGTTCTGGATCTCTTCGTCATAGTGTATCTTGATGACATCTTAATCTTTTCAACATCCATGACCCTCCACCGCCACCACGTGGAACAAGTTCTCAGTCGTCTCAGACAGCATGGATTATATGCCAAAGCAGAGAAGTGCGAGTTTGAGCGTTCCTCAATCCAGTTCTTGGGGCTGATCATCTCAGCCAAGGGCATCTCTATGGACCCTCAGAAGATCTCCGCCATCCTGGACTGGCCTTCCCCCACGGACAGGAAGGGCGTGCAACGCTTCGTTGGCTTCGCCAATTTTTACCGGAGATTTATTCAGGACTTTTCCAAGATCATCCTGCCCGTTACACAGTTAACAAAGAAATTGAGCCACTTCCAATGGCCCCAGGAGGCGCAGGCTGCCTTCGAACATCTCAAGCAGCGGTTTACCTCCGCCCCGGTCCTAAGACACCCCGACCCAGCACTACCTTATATCCTGGAAGTTGATGCCTCGGAAGCCGCCGTGGGGGCTGTCCTATCCCAACGCCAGGGCCTTAAGAGTCTTCTGCACCCAGTCGCATACTTTTCAAGAAAGCTAAGCTTGGCTGAGAAGAACTATGATGTCGGGGATCGGGAACTTCTGGCCATTAAACTGGCTCTTGAAGAGTGGCGATACCTGCTGGAAGGGGCCACCCACCCGGTGTTGATATACACAGACCATAAGAATCTGGAGTATCTCCGGTCGGCTAGACGCCTGAGACCCCGACAGGCGCGATGGGCGCTATTCTTTTCTCGGTTTCGTCTCCATATCACATTCCGTCCAGGGTCGCGTAACGGGAAAGCGGACGCCTTATCCCGCATCTACACGACACCCGATTCTCCGGAGAGACCGGATACCATCTTGCCCGCAACTCAGTTCCTGTTACTTCAACCCGATCTAGTCTCCCAGATCCAACAGGCATCCCGGGCCTCTCCACCCCCCAGCGACTCAGGTCTGCCAGGTCTGCTCCAGCAGGATGGGCTCTATATCCACAATAACAGGATCTTCGTACCCCTCGGTGCCCGTGCAGAAGTCCTGGGGCACTGCCACGATACCCCTCGCTGCGCTCGCAACAAGGGTCTGTCCCATCCAGCCTGGGACGGGCCCACACCGCGGACCTAACAAGGATGCTCAGCATCTAATCAATTTCTCAGGTAGTTGCGCTCTTCCATGTCTATGCACACCATCTCCCACAAACCAGTAAGTGAGAGACCTGACCACATTACAGTTGTGCACTTCCATGTATTTTTTTGTTTCAGACTGGCTTAAAATCTTCCCACCACTGTGCCTTCATGCCAACCGCAATTAACCCCATCTCCCGTGTGTGTGTGCTCTCACCACCGCAGCTAACCCTCATTCTCCTTCTGCACCACAGTTGCACACCAATCACCACTCCCGCCACTGCTCTTAACCCCTATCCACCTCTCCGACATATCCCACTTCACTCACCACTGCACCAACACCCTCATCTGCACTTACTGCCACTATACCAATGCACACTTCTGTGCTCTCCACGATTGCCGTGATGAACCCTTCCCTCTTCAGCCCATTCAATGAACGAGCACACTTTTGCTAGTAACTCGGTATGATTTATGAACTCATACTTGGCCTTAAAATGTGTTACTGAAGTGCCTTGGACTTCACACACGTGTGAAATAAAACACATAAACTAGGTTCTGAGATGTAGGCATTTATAAACTTGTTGTTTTTGCCTGTTTTGGCTCATTTTCAATATGCTTTTATGACTGGTTAAGATGTACCTTATGTTTCCTCTCTAACAACACTGCTGATGCTGGAAAACAACAAAAATAGGTATGAAAGAAAATCCGCTTATAACTTGAAACAAGGTAATTTAGAGGTATTTGCAAAATATAACATCTGTTGTTACGATCTTAGAATTCAAAGCACATTATTAGACATTAAAGGGGTTTTTTTTTATTTTTAGAAAATATGTACACCATGTGGAAAATGGTTTTTCACCTGAAAGTAATCCATCCATTTATGGCAAAAAAAAAAAACCTGTAATAACTTGTTAAAAGATGAACTTACATCTATGAATTCTGTATGTTATGACTGAATACATTCTTGGTATCTTAAAGCCCAACTCACTACTTTCGATATACTATATACTTTCTATAGTAAAAGTATTTGCTTCGATCTAGTTTTTATTTGTTTGTACTTTCTTCTAATTACCTTGTCACTCTGTTGCCTTGAGGAAGGGACTCTGCGTGGCCTAGAATCGTTGGAAATTTTGACCTATGTGACAATATTTGCAATAAACAATATTTTTTTGCTTCTTTGAGTGCTGGTGACCTATCTTCGCATCTCTGAGGTTCTGCACGGTGCTCAAGCACCTACCTTATCTACATTGGTTACAACTCTGTATGGTGTGCAGCAGGCACCTTCAACAATTTCTCTAAATGGGGACAGACCACAAATAAAAAAATCTCATTGAGATTCTAACCATTTCCTTTAGCTGGATTTCAGCTTTAAGCAACCATTGAAAATGTCATATTGAATTTAAGATTGGATATATTAAAAGCTAAAGATGAACTTCACCATCCCATGCCAAAAAATGTTTTATAGTAATTGTCCCCCTATATTATGTAAAATAAATATACTTACAAGACCATCAAATCCAGCATTGATGATTCTCATAGCACACGTCTCATTCCACACCACCATTTCTATCATCATCGGGGGGCCAGTTGCAAGAATCTGGAAGGTACAGCTGACCCCCTGATGATGTGGCACAAGATCTTGCACATGCACAGTTTCCTCTCTCTTTTTTCCAGCCACACAAGCAAGATATCACGAGAGTTCAGGTATCTGTTGTGTGCTGGGATATGTGATGTGTCTATCCCAGGAGGCAGCACAAAAGTAATTCTTGTCTAGGTGGGATCCAAGGAAGGGGCTGGGTACAAACCAAAGAAGAAAGTATAAAAAGGTAAACAGAAGCATAGGAAAAAAAGGCTGCTTTTTTAATATTATGCAGGGAGGAATGTTTCAATGAAGCACAATGTGTTTTAGGGTGATGAAACCTATATTCCTACAACATAGCAGCCAGAATGATAGTTTGCAAATGCCAGAGCAAATGGGACCAAAGTGTTTATTAAACCTCTTGATCCACCCAGCATCAAAAGCAACTTAGGAAAGGAATCTGTTAAGAAATGTTCCATGACATCTACATGTACATTACCCTGAGTAACATAGACATACTTAGCAATGATTATTAAGACATAAGGTACCCATCTTTTCAAGGATTGTCCAATAAGATTTGGAGTTGAAGGCTATATCTGTGTTGGTATCTGCCCCCTCCTATTCTGAATCAATTATTAATTAATAAACATTATCAGTCCACCAAGGGACACCACAGTTGTGCATGTTCAAACTTTATTACTTTAGAAAATTGGTGATAGATTGTTCCAAGTCCTAACATGTGTTTAAGTTATTTTATCAAATGATTGCAGGTATACATGTATGGCTTGGTTTACTAGCCTTGTGACTGAACAACCTTATGACTGAACAAAATGTAAACATTGATTTGACTCATGGTTTTCTTTTGTCCCCACAGCACACTGTGCAGTCAGTGAGTGGAGTCCTTGGGGTCCATGTTCAAAGAAAGGAAAAACATGTGGTTTTAAGCGGGGCAATGAAACAAGAACCCGTGAGATACAGCAGCATCCTTCAGCACATGGCACATCTTGCCCGTCAACAAATGAAACAAGAAAATGCATAGTGCAGCGAAAGAAATGCTCAGAAAGGTAATGTATTCTCATTTTGTGATTCTCCTCCAAGATGTCCTCAGACATGATGGCAAATAGATAAAATGGACCTGAACTTTCCCATTCAACAGAGAAGATATAGCCAAATACCTTTTGGTCATGTATCCAGCACTAAACAGCTCCTAACCAGAGCATTTTTTTCAAAGAACACTAACAGGGTTTATTCACAAAAGGGTGAAGAGTTTGGAGAAGGCAGGAGAAGTGATCAATCTAGGACAACATAGCTGAACTGGAAAGTGAGCTGAATTGGAGAATTTTGGAGTGGAGTGGCTCCACTCCATGAAAGAGGAACGGAGCTAGCCTTGGCCAACCGCACTGTCACCCTATGGAGAGGGTAGTGAAGGCTGGACTAGACAGATTTAAATGGACGGAACTAACAAATTAAATCTGAATACCAGCTAACACTTCTTAAGTAGTTACAGCAACAGTTTTTTTTGGGCGATAAACGTTTTACATAAATGAATGAAAGCTGATTATTGTAAGCACCTCTGTTCGTGCTAAATTATTGGTCCGTTGGTCCCAACCTTCTACCTGACACTTTTGCTGAACAGCTTTGCTTGTTAAAGGAAGTTGAGAAAAAACAGACTTACTGACCAGATCACCAGGTGAATTAAAGGAGAACTATGGGTAAGTGTTTTTGCCCATAGCTTGCGGTATACTGAGACCGCCGCATCCGGGATGGATCCCGTTATTACTGTTAAGATCCACCCAGCTGCGTGATTGACAGCTGGCTCTGTCTATCTAGAGGCAGAGTCAGCTGTACCCGCCCCATCTGTTCAGCCAGTCAGCGCTGGAGGATTGGAGGGGGGGAATCCTTGCAGGGAGCTGTGAGTGACAGTCACAGCTCTCTGCAGGGACAGGATCGAAAAGTGAGCGTACGACGGTATGTGTTTGCTCACTTCCCGATCTATTGAGCTGACGTGTGACCGTTTCATTGTCACACATCGGTTCGAACTATGAGGTTGAGTGAAAATCACTCACCTCATAGTTCTCCTTTAACCACTTCAAGACCAGGTGTTTAGACCCCCTTCCTGGCCAGGCCATTTTTCAGTGTTCAGCGCTGCAGTCCTTTGACTGACGTTTATTCCGTCATGCAACGCTGTACTGAAATGAATTTTATACCCTTTTTTGGGGACAGATAGGGCTTTATTTTGGGGGTATTTAATCACCACTGGGACTAATGTTGGTAAGCTGCAATATGTTACCTTTTTGCTTTTGGGTTTAGGTACGCTTTAACTCTAAATGGGTTTCAGAGGGATTTCATAACTCTTTAGGTAAAGTAGAAAACCCCTGTTCTTCGGTACAGGCATAAAAATAACATTTTGTATCAAACTATTTTAAACTTTATTTACAAAGTGAAGTTTAGCAGTACCATTTCATTAATAGATTACGGTTTCCTAGAGATAGTAGTTCTGGTGGAGGATGATGCGAATGAATAAATATAACTTTAAATATTACTATCTGCTGGCAAGGAAAAAAGTTTCCATTCTTGGACATTCGTTTTGGTTTTGTGTTCCTGGCAAGCTATATACATATTGTGCTAAAGAGAAGATCCGTACGTTCTATGGAAAAAAAGATAAGCTGTCTGAATTATTTACGATCGCTATCCGAATTTATATGAGTCTAGGTGATCAACAATCCGGAATTAGAAACTACATGGAATCCCCCATCCCACCAGCAAGTTGTTAATTCCTAATATACTCCCCTGTCAGATAAATAGATCGTTATATGAGAACGTATGTGTGGCTCAGCTGGGTGGGAGAGCAGCAGTTACATGCAATGTTTGTGAAATTTCTAGGCAGAGGATTTGATAAGTATGCAATTGGCTTACGCTTGCTGCGTTTTATCATACTTTGATTGGAGTTCAAAAATATGCTGAGGAAAAATTCCCCAAACCATGCATCAAGATTAGAGTAAATGTTACTTTAGCTAGAGATAATGTAACATAATACCAAGAGGCTTAAAATATTAAGTGTTAAATTCCCTTCTTATCCACCCACTCACACTCATCACAGACACAATCTGATGTAACACAGAAGGGCAAAAGACAACCGTCACGTTTAATGATGTGCTGGATGATAATGCAAAATGGATCCGCTATATTCAGCCAGATTTCTTCCTGTCAATAAATAGATCCAGCCCAATTGTGTAACCTCTGATCCATCATATAACATATATACAGAGCACACTTGTCATATAAAGGGTCGTGTTTTGGTTGCTCTATAGTTGAAACCATGAGGCCACACAGTTGTGTTAGTTCATTTCAGTGCACTGTTCCATCCACATCTCTGAGGAGCATTTTGTATATATTTGACAAATTAAGAGAGAGGATTGCTGCACACTCACAATTAGGGTTGGGCTCGATGATCGAGCCAAACGTGAGTTCGACTCGAACATCGCTAGTTCGTGTGTTCGGCGGGCTGTTCGCCTTGTGAAGCCGTAATTGGCTAAAGGCTTGCACCTGACCACAGGGCACAGAGAACTGTGAGAGCTATGATTAGGAAAAGTCGTGATGACTCTGCCCAATCGTGGCTCACCTGTTACAACAGTAAACAGTTGGGCGGAGATTGCTGTCACTGCTAGCTCCGCCCATTTGTTTATAAGTTGCCGGCATCTGTCAAAATGCCATTCTGCGACGGGTGTTCTTTGCGAGGACGGGGCGGCGGTCGTCGTTTTTTAAAAAATTATTTCTATTTATTTTTTATTGTTTTATTTGTTATTTCGTCGAGTCGCCGTTGTGGACAATGCTGGCCGTCGTGATTGACCCTGGATTACATTGATGGATCAATTATTTTTTTTAATAAAGGACTTGTCGAAAATCCTTTGTTGTGTTTTTTTTTCAAATAAAGGATTTTTTATGAAAGTCTGGTGTTGTTATTTAAAGGAGAACTATGGGGTCAGGGCTTTTCCCCATAGTTCTCCTTAGGGTAACAGGAGGACACAAACTAGCATTTTTGAACCCTTACTCTACAAGTACCCCTTACTCATTCACAAGGGGGGGCGCATCTGAGAGCCCCTTTATTAAAGGGGTACCCTGATGTGAATAAGCCCCCGGCCCGCACCCCCACAACCAACGCCCCAGGGCTTGTGGGGAAAAAGCCCTTGTCCCCATCGGCACGGGGACAAGGTGCTTTTCCAGGTGTTACCCTGGAAATGCACCCTTCCTGTGCCGAGGGCATGTGGCCTGGTATAGGAGAGAGAGGGGGGAGCTCGCTTGTCCCCACCCTTTCCAGCCCTGCCAGGCCTATGCTCGGATCAAGGGTCTGGTATCCAATTTTAGAGGGGACCCCACTTCTCCCCCCCCCCATTTTTGGGGGTAGGGTTCCTCTTTAAAATTCCTACCAGACCTTAAGGGCCTGGTATGACTTTTGGGGGGAACCCCATGCTTTTTTTTTTTAAATGGGGTCCCTACTAACATTCCTACCAGACCTAAAGGGTCTGGTATTGTTTGGGAGGGAGAACTGCAAGCTTTTAAAAACATTTTTTTTTTAAACGTCATTTTTTTTTCTTTAGAAATTTCATTTTTGCTGCAGTAGGTTCTATACATTGTACAGATTTGCCACTTTACAGCCAGGTTAAGGGACCCCCCAGGCATGATATTTAAAGGATTTTTTCATTTTTATTGTTACCCTTTAAGTAATGTGAAAATCACTGCTCCTTTAAAAACTGTATTTTTTTTCATTGATTCCTGTCCCCCAGGCCAGTACCGGATCCCCATACACTTTTTATGGCCAATAAATTGCATACAGGCTTCCAAATGGGGACATTTGATTTTCTATGTTCTACACCCATAGGCTTGCATTGAGTTCGAGTTTGAATTCACATTTTTTCCATTTTCGAAAGTTCGAATTCGAACCGAACAGGGGGGTGTTCGGCTTATCACAACTTACAATGCCATCTAGTATTTTTTTAATTAAATCTGAACTCCAGGATAAACAAATATTGTCTAAGTACATAGATAACAGATCTTCACAGTTCTTGTTCATTTAAAAGAGGTGGAAGTGAACCCAGTATGGGCAAATGGTCTTAGCTTGCAAAGCCTATCCCTTTACATATACCGTGTTTCCCCGAAAATAAGACACTGTGTTATATTTTTTTGGCTCAAAAAAACACACTAGACCTTATTTTCGGGGTGGGTCTTATTTTTTTTTTTTTTTATGTACAACACTCCACACTTATTCATGTACAACAGTCTACATGTACATGTACAAAAATATGGTGATCAGGGCAAACAGGGGTGCCGTATCTTTTCAAGAGCAAGTTGCTAACCAATCGCTGGCCAGAATGAGCAAAGCGCACTTTCACTATGGATTCTTCACAGGCGGAGTGTATTTGGTATCACTCCACCTGTGACAGGAGCCAGCGCTATAGAGGAGGCATCGGCTTATGCGGCTCTGTTCCCTCCAGTGCCGCCTTGTTTCCTCTAGCGCTGGCTTCGTTGGCACCGCTGATTCTCTCCTGCCTCTCCCGCGGCTCTTCAAGTTCCCCCTTATGCCACCACCGGCCCTGGGAATGGTCACAACTAGGTCTTATTTTTGGGGTAGGTCTTATATTTTATCAATTCTCAAAAATAAGTACTAGGTCTTACTTTTTGGGGTAGGTCTTATTTTTGGGGAAACAGGGTAGCATCATCATTTAAATCAGTGTGAGCGTTGTACTAACTAGGTAAAGAGAATGGGGGGATTTATCAAAGCTGGAGCAGACAAAATTCTGGAGCAGTTGCTGAGGGCAACCAATCAGCCTCTCTCTTCAGTTTGTTCAGTTAAAATTTGAAAATGAAAGAGAGAATCTGATTGGTTGCCCTGGGCAACTGCTCCAGATTTTGTCTGCTCCAGTTTTTATAAATCCCTCTCAGTCTATGACCGAGTTCCTGACTTTTCAGAGGGGGTGACACCAAAATGACTGGCCAGCTCACTGATGTCACTGGTTCTCAGGAGCTGAGCGGTATGCTCGTGCTGCCCCCCGTTCGCCCCTGGTAA